AACAGAGTCCGTTGATGGCCCAGGTCCCGGGTCAGGGCAAAGGCAAATACACTGCTGGGCAAGGGGCAGAGGGCAGAGGCCCTGGAGTTGGCAAATCAAAGCAGCGAAGCGTTCAACCAATGGTCGCGCATAAAAACAAACAACGGCTGCAACAAAAGAAACCGGAGCCAGACAAAGTGAAAAATCGCTAGGGGAAACAAATACACACACATACCCATACACACACACACACACACACCAACACACACTCGAAGCTCGCTTATAGATTCCTTAAACAAATTCCAAAGACGCGTCGTTAAAATTTTCGGCACTAAAAACCCAGACGGATTAGTGGGCTGAGCGGCAGGAGCGGATCAGTTGGGCACGCGACGTTCGGGTCATAAAAATCGCTGGCGCACACACACACCTGGCATAATGGTGAAACAATAAAATGGCCAACAGTGGGCAACGTGCTGGCCAAAAAGTTGTTAGCTCGAATTTCGAATGGCAACAGAAATGGCCAAAATGTAAATGAAATGCTTTTTAAATGAAATTTACTGCTCAACTCAATACTCGAATGGCAGCAACTACTCCATTGTAGTGCCTTGTGAGCAGAGATGACCGGCCGGTACGCTGGGTGGTTGGGTGGCGGCGTGGCCATTTGTAACGGCACTTAAACGGAAATGAAATTAAGCGCAAAATGTGCCAGCTGCCAGTTGGCAGTCGGAAGTTGGCATTTGGTTTTTGGTACAGCTGGCGTGTAATTGAAATATGCGCTTGTCGCATCATCAAATAGCAACACCCACACACACACACGCACACACACACCAACTTTCACTTGGCTCATTCCAAATGCAACATGCACTCAGCAGTTGCAGAAAGTTCTGCTGTTGGTTTTTCATTTGACGAAAGTCAAGCACAACCAATTTACTCACATGTTAACCACAATCACACACACACACACGCACACAGAGAGAGACACTCGCACACTTGCAAATATTATTTATGGTCGTAGACACGTTAAGTGAATTTGTCAAATATGCTTGACTGACTCTCGTAAAAGTTGTCATGCGAAAATTTGTCTTCAGTTTAGTTTTTGTGCTTGCAACTTGTGGCTTGCACCTGATTTGATTACCAAGTTCGCATTTGATTCAAGTGCGACAAATTGCAGATCATTTCGAGCAAAGGACTAGGCTGTCCCCTCTCCCCTTGGCCGGCACTTGCGCATATTTCTTTAATAATTATGTGCAAATGGGAAAAGTAATTGCATTACCCACACGAAAGAGTATCATTAATGACACGGCCACTCCAAGCACTCTCAGAAATATCGTCCATTTTATGAACAATTCACGCTTCACAGCTAGCAAAAGCGCAACGCAAAGGAAAAGTTTAGCACGCAGCTGAAAGCGAACAGCGGACGACGGACGACGGACAGCGGACAGCGGGAAATGAAGCTGAACAAAGCTGAAGAAAAAACTAACAATATCTTTTCTTCGCTGAACAGTTAAGAGTGCAGCCTGCTTGCACGTATTTTTTTTTTCTAGCCATGATACCCATTAAATAGAGGAGACTAGAGTAGGGTAGGGTAATAAAGTGAAGTTTGTGTTCTGATATAAAATAGACTGATTGCTGAGATCAATTAGAAGAAATCAATCGATATAATAATATTCTATCGCTCTCGCTCTGAGCAAGGCCTAGGGCTATTTTCGTTTTAATTTTCGGCTGAGGGCTTTGCGTTGATATATTCGTGTCACGCTCTTTGAGCGAAGATCGTTGAGAATACGATACGATACGAGCTTCGGCTCTCAAAAAGTCAACGGAAACGGTCCTCAAATTCACACACATACATGCATACAGTTATTACGTATACACAAAAGACTCTGTGAACCATTGAGCTCAAGTGAAAGGGTTGAAATAAGAGAACGAAGCGGATTCGCTGAAGAGCCGATGCAATCGATAGTTTTCTAAGTATTAAAAGAAAATTATTAGTGGACATTGTGAAACGGCTAAGAGATATTGGCAAGCTCTGCTAAATATAACCATCTCTCAAAATTCTCATCTCATCATTTACTAAAAGTCATACATCCTTCCATTATCATACATACCTCTTCTATACGGATGAGAATCCATCATCAAGTTAAACATCATCGTCCATCCATCAACAATATATTCCAATAACCAATTTTCGATTTACAAGGTATTTGCTAAATCGATCATTTCGCTAGTTTATAGCAGCTTAAGCTTGGTTTTTCCTATTCTCTCAATTCGCTATTCGCTATGAGCTGTTGCTGTTGCTGTTGCTGTTGCTGTTTTGCCTCGTCGCCCGCACTTCTATTAGCGGCATCCTTTTTGGTTGAGCTGCACTTCTTTTGCTTTCTATTTGCTTCATTTTCATTTTTTTTTTTTCACCCGCCCTCTTCCATCTTTTGCGGCCGCTCATTCATTCATTCGTTATGGCCGCGCAGCAACAAAGCGTGAATTACCGCCATTTTGTGCACTTTGAACGCCATGTTGCCGTTTTCATCGTTCGCGTCGCTTGCAGGGCTTTCAGCAAAGTAATTGCCCGGTGCCAAAGCTAGCGCCAGCCTGAATCCTGCCGCCTCTGTCCTGCCCGCAGCGGCAGCAGCGCTGCAGCATCTTATTGAATCTGATAATTGATTTATGTACTTATTTATGCTCATTTTTAATTAATTAATACGCTTAGCAGCAAAGGCCGCCAGCTGCGCAATTTTGCGCATGGATTAAAAATGCGAGTGCATAAATCAAAGAGCTCTGAATGCGATTTTTATTTGATTTGCAGCAGAGTCCATAAATCTGGCATAGAGGCGCACTGATAGCCATTTCCATGCCCAAATAAATCAAATAAAATAACACTCTGGGTGCAGGCACTCATATAGTATGCATGCATTTTAAATATTAACTAAATCTGCGGTCCGGCAAATGCTCATAAAATGGACAATAAAGGACATTCGCCGTTGGCCAAGAGGAACAGCCACACACAGCAGCAGCAGCAGCAACAGCGGCAAAAATATACTCAACAAATTTTCATTATTCATAATTAACAAACCGCAGTCGCAGCCAATACAAAACGTAAGCGAAATGAAACCTAACGTAACGTAACGCAACGTAACGTAACAAAACGAAATGTGAAATGGGAAATGAAACAAAACCGCCAAAATGCAATTATGGCGTTTGCTGTGCGGATGTGATTAAAATGCAGCCAGTGTGACCAGACGCACAATCAAATGAATTGCTAAATTTAATGCTAGATTTATACTAATAGCTGCAATTGAAATTCATTCAGCATATAATACCTGCTAAAGACTTTTTTTTCCTTATTTAATCTATTTTTAATGTATGCATGGCTTTTGTTTATAAATAATTTAACAATTGCTCGATTGAGCTGCTCAATGAAATTAACTGCATTTTTGCATAATAATGAGCTAATTGAAAATCAATGAGACTTTGCCAGATAGAACGCAAATAGCTATTTAAGAATTCATTTGGTAATTCAATATGCTTTTAATTTAAGAAATTATGCAAATACATGTTTTTTATAGATTTTAATAAATTATTCATATATTTTACTTTTCATACATAAATAGAAATGTAAAAAGAAAAAATTAAATAAATTTATTAAAATAAATAAATTAAAAATGAATGAAAAATTGTGCAAAATTTAACTTTATATATATATTACAAATCTATATTTCAATTATGCCACAAGATTAAAGTCTTTAGTGAAGAGTACAGCGAGTTAAGGCCTCGTCTAATGGTGAAGCGAAATTTAATTAAAATCAATGATTAGACACAGCCAGTTATTTCCCTCAAAACTGTGGATTGACAGTTTTTCATCTCCGCTGAAAGCGTCGAGCCTTTTTCCACACCGATAATGAATGCAGTTGAAATGCAGTGCAGAAATCAGTTGCAAAATTATTTACCCGCAGTCAGCTGCAAAATGCGGTCAGCTGGACCGGACATGGCAAACGACAGCCGCGCAGCTGGACGAAGGGGCAGTGGTCGAGTGGGAGGGAGAGGGGAGAGAGAGAGAGAGAGAGAGCGAGAGTGGGCAGACAACAGCGTTACAGTTACAGGCCGTATTGTTCGATTTGGACCAACGTGAGCTCATAAACTTCCATTACCAAGGCTCTGGCTGGAATCCATTTGTATATTGCATATGTATGCGCATGCACATATACATATGTCTATGTGTGTGTGTGTGTGTGTGTGTGTGTGTGTGCGTGTATGGCGCGCGCTAAGGCCGGCGACCATTGTTATAACGCGAATGTTATCCTTGTTGTTGCTGCTGTTGTTTTTTCCCCATGGCGTGTATATGAAAATTAAAATTGTTGACAATTGTCATTTTTTGCTGCTGTTGCCGTTGCTCCTATTGTTGTTGTTGTTGCTGCTGTTGCTGTTGCTGTTGTGTGTTGTCAGTGTTGTTACCGCGGTTGTTGTTTCTGCCTCTCATGCGTCTGTTGTTGCTCTTGTTGCTCCCGTTGTTGTTGCTGTTGTTGTCGGCAATGCCACACGCAACTAACCGCATTTTGATTGCTATGCATTCGCCCGAATCGTGCTCCGCGCCAAATTGAATGCATTTTCCGTGCCGTAGATTCGGATAAAAAGCCGTCACCAGCTTTGCATGTGTGCCACAGGCATTGCTGCTGTTGCTGCTGCTGCTGCTGCTGCTGCCACATGCATCTCTCGCCCGTTCTCGGTTGCAGCTTCAACTTGGACTTAGACTACATAGAGCAGCCATTGCTTGGATTGTTTGCTCTGCTTGTCGCTCGTTTGATTTGTGGCCGTGTTTTGCACTTTTCTCATATCTCACAACTGCTCAGCATGTTTCAGTTTATGCCGCACTTAATTCTCTACAGGTGTGCACAGGTGTGCGAGTGCGCTCCATCTCACTTTGCAGATTATATTCAATTTGCAAAGACACCACATCGAATTAACAAAAACATTTTGCAAAATCTATGTGGCTTTCATACAGAAATTCATAGAATATATATATATATATATATATATATATATATATATATATATATATATATATATGTTTATGTTTATCAACAATATATGTATATTTAGTATATTTGTGGCTGTACGTGATTTATGTCGTCTGGTCGAACAACACCTCCCACACCTTCCATTTAGTCGAGGCTGATGCGTCGGCCGCTCATTACACATTTTTCGCCCCATGATTGTTGCATATGCATGGTCAAATATTTGGATAGGACTGAACTGGACGGGACAGGACGTGCCGTGCCGGCTCTGTATTGCGGTCGTACAATCAAAATATGTGCATGCATTCGTGGTTTTGCGGTGCCACTTGCTTTGGCCTCAAAACATCTAGTCGAATCGTTTATATAATTTCGGGTCGAATTTATTTAGTGCTTAACACAAAACCAATGCCAATCACACTCGATGGAAAATCACAATTATTCGCTCTAGTCTCTCAGCTAATTCAATTTTCATGGCGATTGGCCATTGAGGCGTGCTGCAACAACTGAATCGGGCTTAATTAAATTCTTATCCAGTTACTTCAAGCATATTTTCTCTAAAGGGTCGTGCTTCCAAATTAGTAGTAGAAAATGCCAAAAAGCCGCGGGCAGGACATCGCTTACTCTGTGTGTATGTGTGTGTGTGTGTGTGTGTGTGCACAATGTCTGCTTTGGACACCCTACAGGAGACTTGCACATGTGGTCAGCCATAATAAAAAGAAAAATATTTGCGTTGAAGCAAAGAACATGAACTTTGGCCAGTCGAAGAGACTGAGCGGAATACTTAACAAAATATTTCAACGAATTAGCAAGCAGTACAGAGAGAGAGAGAGAGAGAGAAACTGAGAGAAAGTTGAGTTGAGTAAATGAATTTAGATGTTTAACACGTCTAGAAATATTCAACTTACTTTAGTAGACAAACATCAAGAAATTCATAGCGAAAATTCAGTTTGTTTCGCTCGCTTTTTTCATGCTCGCCGTTCCTGCTGGGTCGCTGGGCTATGGATATAGAGGGACAGGACACGATATGTCTAGGCTGCCAGCTAGCGCTCTTAAGTTCATTAGGGCCACAGAATATAACATAATTATTCACTTACAATTTGCGCCACGACGCCTTAGTTTCAGCTTGTTTATGTGTGTGTGGCGTATACGTAATTTGATTTAGATGCCTGAGAGTTACCTCTGAAAAGATTGTAGCACCGTCTCTGCAGGCCGTCAGCTGGCAGAACGAAGAGGGTGAGGAGGGTGGCGAGTGTGCATCATTTTTGGCTTTAAGGGCGTCGCATTTGCAAAGTCAATAACAGACTCAAACAAAGTCAACAGACAGGCTGCTAATGCCATTAGGAGACCTCAAACCGCCTGGAAAAGGCGCACAGTGGGAGCTGAAGCAGAGCAGGAGAATAGAACAAAATGGAGAAATGGTAAAATGTTGGCTTGTTAAACCGCAGCTCATTGCTGGCAAAATAAAACCTACATTGGCTCAGCTCAGCTCAGCTCAGCGCAGTTCAGCTCAGGACCCGGCACACAGGCCCATAAATTCCAACATTTGCCAATAAGTTGAAAGGCTAAAGTTTTACATTGGTAACCGAAAAATATGCAAAGCAGTCATAATTTTACTTTGCAACGAAATATTTTTGTATAAAATTGTTAGCAAACAAACTTTTTTATGCTTCAACTAATTTCAATCAGCTAACAAAAATGTGTAGAGCCCGACGCCTCTACCGCTAACGCCCTCCCTTCTCCGATTCGAAAAGCACACGCAAAACTTTTGTCAATAATGCCGACGCCTTAAACCCGAAACCCAAAAACCCCAAACCCAAACCCAAACACCCAAAACCGATTGCCTTGCTCTGCCAGAGTCCCGGAGTACCGGAGTCCCGGAGTACCGGAGTGCCGGTGTCAAGACAAAGGCGCAAACACAAAGAGCACAAGCTAGAAATGATCCATGCACCTGGCGGCCTTGCTTCGGCTATTCCGGATGCTTCAGCTACCCCGACTGCTCCAGCTGCTGCTGCTGCTGCTGCCTCTGCTGCCTCTGCTGCCTCTGCTGGCAGAGTTTATTAAGTTGGGTGTCACCTTTTCCTGTGTTGTCGTTGCCGGCATTGTGAACTTCTCAGCACATTCCCTTAGCCCCTGGCAATTTTTGTGTGTTTGCAAGTTTGTCTGTCTTGTTTTTGTTGTCACTTCATCAGCACGTTGCCCTGGCCCTGGCCCTGGCTCGCTCTGGGCCATGATTGGTAGATAGATGTCGCAACTGCGAAAGTGCCAAGGCGATTGCGAATCAAAAAATTGATCATTTCAAGTTTTGTGCGCATATTATTATTCTTATTGCCTGCCCATTTGCATAATTGTCAATTGCCATCAATCGAGTGTTTATTAAAAAGTTTTTCTCATTTCATCACATGTGCTCCCGCACCCTCACAGCAGTCCTTTTGCCAGTCGAATGACTCTCTATATAAATGGTAATGGAAATGTGTCTGTAATGCCAAATCTTTGCAACTTGTGCTAACTCATTAATTAACTTTGCTGCCATTGTTTGCGAATGCTATTTATTCTCGGCTTATCACTGAGCCCCGAGTGCCCGTTGTGCAAAAGGACCGAAAAGAAAACAATAATAAGAAGGCTGGGCCGAGCCTCGAAATCCCAAAGTTTTAATGAGCTGGCGGCACACAGGTAAGTGGGCGCGGCTCGCCCTTTTAATTAACATTTAACGAAAAATTCGATTCAACTTTCCACATGCCACACGGCACATTAAGACATATGGCTTATAGTACTAGACTAGTCATCAAAAAACATCAATTGCGAAAACTTTTCTATAAGAATAAAGAGATAAATATCCTAGATCAATGCTTGAGCAAAGACTCAATTATTCATTTAACAGCGCCATCTGTGTGCTTGTGAAAGAATTACAGGAGCTCAGCAAGAGCAAGGCGCTTTATTTGGACACTGAAGCTTTCATGTTTATGTCGTTAGAGAAAGCTCTATATATGAATTTCGTATGAATAACAAATGGCAGCAAGGCTAGATTTTACGAATACATACATATATATTAATTAGAAATAAAGAGAAATAATATTAAATAGTTAATCAATCAAATTCATAAATAATTAAAATAACTACGCATACATATAAGTTATTTTAATATCAATATTTTTCTGCCATAATAATTATGTAAAATTTTAATATATTTTCTTGTATAAAAAGCTCAGTTCCTATACTATATCATTGATGATTTCAATATTTTATTCATATACAAGCATGAGCTAAAAGCTATTCCTTTTACACAGCTTTTAAAAATTCCTCCCAAAGCCGCTCCACACATAAAAGCTCAAGAGCCATGTTCACGTAGAGCTTTAAGCGCAGTGCTGACAGGCGTAAGCAAAAATAAAGCTGGGACTTTTATCGACCAACAGAAGCAAACGATATGTGACAGAACCTTCTTGTATAACAAAATGAATACAAATTTATTTTTTGGATAATGAGTTATAATAATAAATATTAGATACTATTACTTACAATTTTGTTTACATTTATTTAGTATTTTCATAGGGAATCTCAAACATTGTGTAGGTATGGCAGCGCCGTCAGCTTTTAATCATGTGCGCTGCAAGGCTGCAAAGCTATCATGTGCATGGCCTCTCTCTCCACATGTGTTTGTGTTTCTGTTTATGCGATAGACTAGTGTGTGTGCGCGTTTGTGTATGTGCAGTTGAAGAGAGAGAGAGAGAGAGTGAGAGAGGTTGCGCCCGACTTGCTCTCTTGGCACGCATTTGACTTCACTTGGAATTGAATTTTAGTGCGTTCGCGAGCAGCCTTATAAAACGTTGTGCTATGAACGGAAGCGGATGCCAGAAGGAGAACTACATGAGCCAAAGGCACAGTGAACGCTGAGGCAAGAGGAGGGCAGAGCAAGAAAGAAAAGAAAACAGTGGAAAATCCAAAAAATGTTAGCATACTTTTTCGAGTACTTACTGTGCTGAACAACGTTAGTTAATCGCCAAACCAAACGGCTGATTGGTGCATATCGAAAGCGAATCAATGCCCAACCACAAATAGTTGAACGGAAAATATGACCCAGTTCCGAGCGGGATTATACGGCGTGCATATAAAGTAAATTTGACTGGCAATAGAATGCCATAAATGCATTTGGAGCAGTTCAGCCTTTGCTTTGCATTCTCTCAGGCGACATGCGACAGTCGCAACAATAAAATTTTACAATTTTTGATTGCTGTACGTGAAATGTGAATTGCTCAACTTGTGTGCATTTGTCGCAGTTTAGTGCATACTACAACAATTACAGTGGAACATAAATACGAGCGACATCAACTGTGTGTGTGTGCGTGAGTGTGTGTGTGTGTAATACTTCAGTCGAGCAGCAGCCCCAAAAGTTACCCTAGCTGGCTGCTCTTTTAACCAGCACAGCTGATTGTCAAGCGAGAGCAGCATTGCTTTCAGCGAACATGTTGGCTTGTTTGGTTTAAGTCAGAGAGCAGCAGCAGCACCACCACCACCCACCACTCACCACTCCCACCCCCAGCCCACACTCCGTAAGTGAGTGAGTTCTGCCTGCTGGCTAACGTAACGAGTTTCAAGACACGCACGCCACACGACAAAGTACACGTAATACAGCCATAATCAAAGGTAGCCGTAGCCGTTGCCGTTGCCGTATAGCCCAGGTCAACAGCTCCAACTGGCACGCACGTGTGTGTCTGTGGTAAGTGCATAAATTGTATCATCTCGATGGTACTTGGCAGCTTTTACGGGGCCAGCGAACGGGCTCAAATGAAATATTTATGTCGCTTGGGTTAGCATCTCTGACCCGCGCCTTCCCAACGAACAGGAACAGCAACAATATATGCATATCTGTCATTGAATGCTGGCTTATTTGTTTTTAAAGTGGGTTGCCAGGCGTTGATTGTCGAGTAACCATAGTTATAGATAGATCTATATTCATTTGTTTATAGACATAATTCGCTGGAATTGAAAACAATCCAGAAAAATCACTTTGCTCCCACTCTCCCTCTCTCTCTATCACTCACTCTCTCTATATTTATT